GCTGCTATATGCCATGTCCAAGATTTCCCTGCTGCTGCCTGTCAAACTGGAGAGATTTCCTACCTTGTAATTCTTTAATTGGCGGAAAAATGAACTCTATCAAGGCCCTTAGATGGTAACAGTTACAGCACCAAAAAGCCTCATCCCAGGATGACAATTTACAAAAGCCACATCCATTGGAGTCCTCCCCCCTGCCCCTAGTCAGCCTTCCACAGCCTATAAAATACAGAACCTGACCCCAGGACCACAGTGTGCAACTGGGTGCACTTGGCGGGTGAAATCTCAGGCGTGGGTCTGGTGACACCCCACTCCCTTCAAGGAAGGAGTGTTAAAGCCTCCTTATCATAGACCTGGATGTTATTGTACTGTTCCATTTCGATGTGATGACTACAGAGCCATGGTATCCCCTGGTGTTACCGCCTAGAGGTCTGCCTCCCCTGCACTGGGATTATGAGCATCCATGACCACTCCTAGCTTTCACATATGGCTTCTGGGGATTGGAGTCGGGTTCTCCATGTCACCAACACAAGCCCCTTGCCAACTGAGCTCTCTTCTCAGCCCTCCTCCTGTTTTTATGGCTGAGGAAGTAAAGGCCCACAGAACTCAGAGGCTTGCATGAGGGTTACGTATTAGTAAGCCAAATGCTGTCTGTGAATCCAGAGATGCTGCTTTTCCCAGACCATTATTTTTAATAATCTAATGAGTAAGAGATGAGAATTACTACATGACAAATCCCTGCAAGTGTGTACCCCAGCTAATGCTGGAGATGGAGTCATCTCCGATTAATCCCCACAGTTAACACAGACACTGGACACAGCTGACCAGCCACCAGCATTCTCTCTTACCACTGCCCAGACGAAAGATGTGGTTCCTGCCGGGTGGTGGTGGCGGCGGCGGCGGCGGCGGCGGCGGCGGCAGCGGCGGCACATGCCTTTATTCCCAGCACTCAGGAGGCAGAGGCAGGTGGATCTCTGTGAGTTCGAGACCAGCCTGGTCTACAAAGCAAGTTCCAGGAAAGGCGCAAAGCTACACAGAGAAACCCTGTCTCGAAAAACAAAAAACAACAAAACAAACAAACAAAAAAAGAGATGTGGTTCCAGGGCTCTGTTTCTTGGGAGACAGAAAATTGTACAAGTTGCACATGTTATGTGGCTAAGCTGTATGACAAATGAAGTATTTGCCTGGAGGCTGCATTCATGTGCACCATACCTTTGGCATTTGCAGACCACAGTAAGGAAACTAACGTAAACTCTGAATCATTCTCCTGATGGTGTGAGGCTACTGGGGTCTCTCTCCCTCTCCCGCTCCCCCTCCTCCTCTCCCTATCTCTCCCACTCCCCTTCCCCTTCCTCTACTCTTCTCTCCCTCTCCCTTGTTATGAGGGAGGGGTCCATCCTCAGTAACTTCTCAGCCTGCTAATTCCTCTCTACCTAATATCCATGATTGGAGAGAAGTGTGGCTACCTGGTCTCAGAACTGGATAGAACTAAATTTGCTTTTATGTTCTGTCTCTTGGGGCTAAGTACATGTCTTTTCTGAACATCCATATTCTCAATTTTGAGATAAGAACAAAGATAAATGTTTCATTGACTCTACACACCCAGTGTTGCATACTTACGTAATTCAGAGGTTCAGAGAAGATGATCCCTTGAGTCCAGAGACCAGCCTAGACACAGCAGTGTCTCAAATAAATAAATAAATAAATAAATAAAATTTCTAACTACAAAACAAGCTGGGTGTAATAATCCCAACACTTTGAGAAGCCGAGGCAGGGGATTGTGAGTTTGAAGCCAACTTGGGCTCTATAGTGAGATCCTGTCTTTAAAAAAAAATCTAAATAAATAAAATTCGAATAAAAAGCAAATATTTCACATGATAAAAGTGATTAAATGAAATAGAACCCCTGAGAGCTCTTTTTTTTAATAATGTATTTTTATTTTATGAGCATTGGTATGAGGGTTTCGGATCCCCTGGAACTTGAGTTACAGACAGTTGTGAGCTGCCATGTGGGAGCTGAGAGTTGAACTTGGGACCTCTGGAAGAGCAGCCAGTACTTTTAACCACTGAGCCATCTCTCCACCCCCCATGAGAGTTCTTAACACACAGGAGGCATCCAATGAATAGATGCATGAAGTTCGACCCCAACTACACACGGCTTGAATAATGAAAATTTCTCATGTTGGTAGATGAACTTGAAAATATGCTCAACACATCAGGCTTTGATGAGTAATTCATAAACATTGTCAACTTGTTCAGGGTGGTGATAGAGAAAGATCAAAAAAAGCAAGCATCATGAATATTTCATGGGGGAGCTAATGGCCTTTGAAAAGGCTGTTCCAACTGTAGGAAGGTTGTTTTTTTTTTTTTTTTTTTTTTTTTTTAGGTTTAGTTTGTTCATTAATGGTAGAACTTTTAGAACTAGACCAGGTTTTTCTTTCCCCCCACATGCCTGTTTTTAAAAAGTATGGTGGGGAGCACAGGCCATGTATTTCGTCATAAAAACATTATCTATTCCAAAGCTTTACTTACTCTCTGGCAAGGCAGTCACAATGTCAACAGATACTTAGCCAATGAGGATGCTGGACCACCGGAAACTAAAATTAAGCATTGAAGGGTGTCTGCACAGAGAAGACGCACACACAGGAGAGACACAAACAAACCAACACAATGTGATAAGTGCCATGAGAATGCGGGCATGAGGCCCAGAGAGAAGGGAATTATCTGGGGACAGTCTCCAAGAGGCAATAACACTTAATGGCATTCTTAGCGAGTGAGCAGGAGTTAGCCAGGAAAACAGTGGGACATTCAGACAATCTGATTGCTCTGCAAGGTCGTGGCAAGAGAAGACAGAGGACATACTTGAAACTACAAATAGCAAGAAGTGGTTCAAAGGAGAGCTGAGGAGAGGCAGATAAGGCAGGCAACCAAAAGACTATAGGTGTCCATAGCCCCACTAAGAGAGGCCTTCTGTACAAAATGATAATGATAATTCTGAGACCAAAAGGTAACCAAATGCCTGGAACAGTGGCTAGCATCAGAGGAAAACGAAGAGCAGAAGCAGCTGACTTTTGCCCCTGACTACTTTATAGGGTGCCCCAGGCGTTCAGGAGAGGATTGTGGGTAGGGATAGATACACCTCCCAGCTGAGCAAGGCTTCAGGGGTGCCATATAAGTATGGCACAGACCATATACTCAAGTGGCCCAGGAGCTGTGTTCCAGCCATGCAAAAGGAAGAAGGAAGTGATAGGAAACAATGAGTTTTGAAGAATAGACTGTCTCCCGGAGCTGCCTTGTAGACTGATTGAGAGCCCCAAAATCAATAAGAAAATCATGCAAACACCACCATCTTCTGATCGCTTCATGTACTCCAGTCTGCGTGAGTGAAGCAAAACCAGAAACATCTTTTTGTCACAGTTTCTTGGAGTCTTCTTACAGTTGTGGGCTGGGACACGGACTGATCTGAATGCTTTAAGGGGGCAACTAGACCAGAGCCCCATTGAGAAGAGGTGAGAGCTGGAGATAGTGCTGAAGTTGTGAGACAAGAATGCAAGTGTGTGTCTTGTTCTGGTTTGGGGTTTATTTTTTTTTTGTAGGGGGTTGTTTGTTTGTTTAGGATAGAAAATATGTATAGCCTGGGGTGGTCTTGAACTCATAATCCTACTGCCTTAACATCCCTGGTCCTGGGATTCCAGATGTGTATTTCTATTGCTTTGATGAAAGATGAAACATCATGACCAAAAGCAACATGGGGAAGGGAGGGCTTATTTCACTACCAGTTTCATATAACACTTCATCATCAAAAGCAGTGAGGGCAGGAACTCAAGCAGGGCAGGAACCTGGAGGCAGGAGCTGATGTAGAGGCCATGGAGAGGTGCTGCTCACTGGCTTGCTCATCATGGCTCACTCAGCCTACTTTCTTATAGCACCCAGGACAACCAGCCCAGGGATGGAGCCACCCACAATGGCCTAGGCCCTCCCCCATCAATAATTAATTAAGAAAATGCCCTACAGGCTTGTCTGCAGCCAGTTCTCATGGTCCATCCATTTAGAATGGGATATACCAGCAATACGCTATGTTTGCCTTGTGAACACATATGCAAATGTGTGTTTTCCATTTCCCCTTCCTGAAATTGTCCTCGTGTCCAGCTCTGTTTGGATAAGGACAAGAACCAAATTAGAACATGCTACCATAGGGACATGGATCATGCTCTAGCTTTCCTCAGGGCTTAACTACTCTAAACATGTACTTGCAGACAGACATAGCAATGTGAGTAGTGCATATGTAGATATGTGTGCATGTTCACATGTTTGCATGTGTTTTGGATGTGTGTGTGTGTGTGTGTGTGTGTGTGTGTGTGTGTGTTTGTATGTTTGTGTGCATGTTTAGGGGTACACTTATATATGCAGGTGTGCATGTGAAAGTTAAAGAACAGCCCTCAGGTGTCATAACTCAGGTGCCCCCCATCTTTTACTGGAGGGTTACTCGTGGTGTGGAACTTTGTCAAGGAGGCTAGTCTGGCATGCCAGAAAGTCTCTAGGATCTGCCTCTGCCTCCTATCTCATCATCTCTGGAATTACGAGCTCACACCACTACCCTGGGTTTTCACCTGGCTTTTGAGGATCTAAAGCTCAGGCCCTTGAACTTACAAACTTACAAACTTTACCAACCGAATCACCTCCTGAGCCCATTTCTTGTGAGAGCTATGGAAAAAGCACGAGACTTGAGAGGAATCCTGTGCTTTTTGTGGGCACGCTGGGCTCTGACCCAAGACTCTAGCAGGCTGGAATTATTCTCCCTCTGGCCGTAGGCTTAGTGGAGGAAAGCTTTGAGAGGCAACGGAATCATTTGAAATGGGACACTCTGGCTTGTCTTGCTTTCAGATCCTAGGCAGCTGGAGCATCTTGGCTAATCTCAAATGCTAGAAATAATGTGCTATTTGTCACTTCCGTCCCAGCCAAGGGTCACACAGAAGCTAAAATAAATTCTGAACGCCATTTTCATGAGTAGCTTAACTTTATTCACATGGGAACTCAAGGGACTGGCAGAGACTTCCTCGTACATTTCTTCTGAAGGGCTGAGTTAGTTTGGTGGCACACAGCGTGGGTGGGGGGGATGTGTGTTGACACAGACCAGTAGCTTGTTGTTATTCCGCATCATCAGGAATCCAGTTTAATTTTAACCTGGTGGCCTGGATAGTGCATTTGCTAGGGAACAAGCCTAAGGCTCACTGGCTGACAAGCTTTTGGCAGCCCACAAGAACGGCATCTTTGGAAAACACACGTTGGACCTAGTGCTGCTGTGTGTCAGGCATTGTGAGTGTGGGTCAGAGATGCTAGAGGTGCCAAGAATGGCATCCCATAATAATAAGAGCAGCGGAAGCTCAGGGCACACAGCAGTCACTCCCAGGAGGGCGGCATGGCCCCTCAGTATTGGTAGGACCTCACGAGAAGCCACATAAGGAGAACGGTGATCAGGACAACCGTGAAGTTGAGAAACAGCTCCTGGGTAGACCGCTCCATCTTCTGAGTTGCTGGGTGAGGACTCCTGACAGACTTCTGAGAGCACACTAAGGACCTCCGGCTTGTCCTTGCTTCCTAACAAAGTAAGAGAGACAGTTGGGGGATAGGTGAATATTCCTGGAAGATATCCAGCCTTCCTTCGGAGGAAAATGAAGTGTTATGGAAGAGGAGAGTGTTTGTGCTGACTTGCCCAACCCTTCCCCCCAGACTTATACATCGAAATCCTAGTCCCCAATACCTAAGAGTGCGACTGTGTTTGGAGACAGGATCTTCCAAGAGGTAATTAAGTTAATATGAGGTCACTGTCACAGGTAGCTTCAGCACAACTTGATATAAACTGGAGTCACCTGAGAAGAAGGATCTCAAATGAATAATTCCTCCCACATTAGGAGACTCACAACTGCCTATAACTCCGGCTCTGGTAGGATCTGATGCCTCTGCCTTCTTGGGCACCTACCTACACTTATGTACCCCCACACAAACTTCAGTTTGTGCCTCTGAGTTCCTGCCCTGAGTTCCTGCCGTGGCTCTCCTCCAGGATGGACTATACCTGTGAGCTAAAGATAAATCCTTCCACCTGAAGTTGCTTTTGGCCAGGGTTTTACCACAGAGAGAGAAACTAAATAGAGCAGTTGCTCTAGTGAGCCCTAATTCAATATGACTGGTGTCCTAGGGAGAGTAGGCCAGGACATAAACATTATAGAGGAAAGACATTGCAGAAACACAGAAATGCTGGCCATCCTCAGTCCAAGGAGAAACGCCTTAAAGGAACCAGCCTTGCTGATACCCTGGGCTCCAACATCCGACCTCAGATTTCATTTGAAGTTAAGCTGCACTCCTCTCTGAGGCTCCAGCCTGGCAGTGGACCTTGAAGATTTTGGACTTTGCCAACCTTTACAATGATATGAGCCAATTTCTCAAACACATATGCACGCACGCACGCGCGCACACATGCAGAGAGAGAGAGAGAGAGAGAGAGAGAGAGAGAGAGAGAGAGAGAGAGAGAGAGAGTGTTAGCTGTGTTTCTCAGAAGAGCATGGATGAACACAGACAGCCTAGTTTCCCTTTCTACTGACATCCCAAGGCCAATAAATTTATCCTGTATTAATTGCATTGTTTTGGGTAAGAAATAAAATATTAGATTTTTCTCACTTTATCTTATGCATGTCTGTATACACGTCACATTTGCTGTTTGGAATATCTGCAAGCAGGGACACCAAAACAGAAAAAAAAATTATAGTTTAGTATTGCCCTTTCTTTGGATCACATTTAGGAGTAGGATAACATCATCCTTCAGATTTAAAGCTGCCCTAGGTCTTCATCCAACCCTGGTGAAAGGATAAAGTAGCCCCAACAGCTGCCTGGCTTTGGACAAGCCTACATGGGCAAAAGCCTGCAGAGGTCAACCAGAAGTCCCTCGCACATCAGGTACTCGGTCCAAAGAACAAGTGTTAACCTCATGAGCATTTCTGTTTCAACAAGGGCTTGTGCCAGTTATTTTTAGTCAAGCTCAGGATGTGCCTAGATTATAAACATTTCAGACAGCAGAGATGATATCTTCAACGTGCATACAGATTGCACGTGCAGGAAAATATACTCTAAGAACGTAGATGACACTGTCAATCAGATTACTAATTTTGACGAAGCAGTGAAACTGATGCTTGGTTTATATCATCAAAACAAAATTTAAAACTTCTGTATTTTAGATAATTTAAGTAGATACTGTTATTGTAGAACAAAATTCTATCATGGAAGGAGAAAGTTTAGATGGAAAGGTACTGGTTTGCAAAAGATCAAAGCTTTGTAGCAACCTTTCAGCCTGACTGAATTAACTATAACTGTTATTTTTGTTGTAGTGTCAATGTACCAAATTATTAATTGCATAGATACCAGCAGATACAATTGCATAGATAATCAGCTTTTATTATATAATTGTTAGTATAATGTATAGGTTCATACTATGTTATATCAATGAATGGATTATAGGATCTCATTTTAAAATACAGCCAATGATGACTGATTTATATTTCATTTCCTTTTAATTCTTAATTTTCATTACATTTATTTATGTCTGTATTTGGGGCAGGTACATATGTGTGTCACAGTACACATGCGGAGGTCAGAGAACCACTCTTTCCACCTGGGGAACCTTGAGGTTGGACTGAAGTTATCGACCTCAGAAGCAGCAAGTGCTTTTATCTGCGGGGCCATCTTGCCAGCCCCTCCTCTTTCCATTTTATCCCCCTTTCAACCTTTGGCATGAGGTAAATTGTCAACTGCCAGTGAAAATCTTTACACACAGTTTCCCGGAGTAGAGAAGAAGAAGAAGAAGAAGAAGAAGAAGAAGAAGAAGAAGAAGAAGAAGAAGAAGAAGAAGAAGAAGAAGAAGAAGAAGAAGAAGAAGAAGAAGAAGAAGAAAATGAGTGGGTAACAGAGGAGAACAGAATGTTTGTGAGTGTTCAGAGGAGCTGAGGAGAGGGGAGCATGTTAGAAGAAGTGCTTACAACAAAGGAACCCGGAACATGGCCCCACAGGACCACAAACTGGAAAGAACTGGTCACCAATCACAGAATGGATGTGGTGTTCACATACATTTGAATGTTGTGGAGTAAAGAGAATGCATGACATACTGTAGCTACGCAGCACAAGACGGCGGGATCTCACAACATAACTGTGGGATAAAAGGGGGATTTGCAAGAGCAGCAGAGAATGTGACTCCATTTACACAAAGTCCAGAGCAGGGAGCTTAACTGTGTTGCTTAGGAACACAGACACGGGTGATAAAACTTCAAAACAAAGAAGGGTGGACAAGCGCCACACTTGGGGACAGAAGCAGAAGGCAGATGGCAGGAATGGACTTCTGCGGCACTGCCAATAATCTGTTTCTCGGTAAACGATAGTTACATTCATGTTTCTTATCATTCATTTTTTAGCTTCTTGCCTCTTTCACACGCTCCCATGTTTTCTAGCCTCTCTGAATGGACAGGCTGAGCACACACTCCTTCCTACGGCTTAGGCTTTGCTACTCTTGTACTTGGACGGCAACCTTAAATATTTGTTGTTTTGTGTATTTTCAAATGAATAAAACAGCAATCCAATGAACTCCCAATTGGTGCAGTTCTATCAAGGTGCACAACTGGAGGCTGGGTCCTATTTTCACACACATCCACGAACAAAGTGAGGCGGTCGTTCACTCGTCCCTGTTCCGTTTTTCTCCCATGAGCCCCCCAGAACTGTGACTTCCTTTTCTGCCCTCTCTACTAGCCCACACATGAACCAAAGCCTTACAAACCAGGAGAAAATTATACAAGAAGTTTGACGTTGGTTTTCTTTTGTGATGTGGGGAAAAAATATAAAACTGGAAAAAGAGAAAATACATATCAGAGGAAAACAGAAATAGATATTCACTTTACAGCTCTATTATCATTACCTGTTCCACTGAGAAATGTAAGCATTTAGTTAATATTTTTATTTGAAAATTACATACACACAGAGACAGAGACAGAGAGACTGCTAAGTACAAAATCCTGTTGTTACCTGAAGAGGGACAAGGACACACCCAAGCTGCTGTAGACTTCTTCTCCTCACTCTCTCCAGCTCCAGCTGTCTCCCGTCTGAGCTCCTGGACTCTGGGCAGGGCCTAAAGTAGTCTGAGGGAGGTGGCAATCACTGTGATGTCACTGGTCAAACATCTAAAGGGACAAGCTCTGGAGGTTCCAGCCTATTGGTGTTCTGGAGGACATGGAAATACGGTGACTAAGGCTTTGCTCCTTTGGCTGCCGATTTGAATTAACAATGCAGATTTGTGAAAACTCTGGTCCCCAGCTGACTTTTGGTGCAATGATGTGGGATTTAAACCCATCTTTTAGCACCTTATAAATGTCTCTACTACCTCTGAAGAGATACAAGAGCAATAGACCAAGTTTAACAAATTGCTACATACTGATTTCACTGCCCAATACATGAAGCTGTGAAAATGTGATTTCATTTCATCACCCATATCTTTAGCTGTTTGAAGCATGAAGAGTTCTCTGCCTTGTACCCACACTCCCCACACCACACTCCAGAATACTATAAGTTCTCCTTCAAAACTGACTTTTGTTCTAGCAGTGGAAGTTAGCTCCCACCCCCACCCATCACCTGTTACACATAACTTTCCAGCGAAGAGACGTACAGCAAGTTCACACGTCCAACTGGTTTCTCCCTAAACAGCCGTGGCAGCTACAGCTTGTATCTGTGTCAATCAAACTAGCATGGCAGTGAAACAGAGAGAAGAACCCATTCATTTGGCTAAAGAGGGGTTGGAAGTAGATCTGGTCAGTGAGAATGTAAATTCTAGAGTAGATAAAAATATCTAGACTATATCCTTTTTATTTCTTTTTGTTGTGTTTTATGTATATGGATATTTTGCCTGCATGGAAGTGTGTGTACCACATGTGTGTAGTGCCCTGGGAGGCTGGAAGAGGTCATCATCCAGTCTCAGACAATGGTGAGCCACCATATGGGTACTGGGATTTAAACCCAAGACCAGTAGTAGAATGGCTCTTAACCACTGAGCCATCTCACCAGCCCATAGAATGTATCTTAAAGGAATAAAATGACATCATTTTCAACCACAGACACTGGCTCAAATCAGACAAGGATGAGTTTGTAACATATCAGATATTGGGAGGTAAGTGGAGCCTCTAATGTGTTTAAATGGACCTGAAAATCATCAGTTAAGGAATTTAAACATGACTCCAGTAATTGCACTGCTCAGTAAATCCTGTCCTTAGAGATAATAGGATAAAGCTCCCCTAATAGTCCCTAGTTAGGGTCAATAAAAATAAGGCATTCCCAGAAGGTAGGAGCAAACACGATTCTCTGCATACTTGTATGTGTGGTCAAGCCTTTCTCACCATCACTGCCTCCCCAGAGATACTAATAAAAGAAGGATTTTCCATTCCCTTTTTTCATTTCAACATAAGCCCATCGAAGGGTAATCTAATTACAACATTCTGTCGCCATTTGTCTTGTAAAACGATCGCTTGCTGAAGTGACAGATAGAGAATATTAATTATAGCACAATCGAACATTGGCTGTTATCTGTGGCCATCTGGCAAACTCTGTAACTGTCGTCAGATTTCTGTCCTTCCCTCCCTCCAAGCTCATGCCAGATTGTTTCAAATGCTAGGGAGTGTTTTCCTGGTCACCAAGCCACAGCTGTCCTTTTCCTATCCACTCAAAATTATTATTTGTCCACTTAAAGAGTAACACTTTCAAGGTAGCATATTTAAGAACATATAAACGTATAAGAAATTTAAATTTCCACTAATGTGGGCCTGACAGGGGATAAAGGTGCTTGCTGCCAAGCCGGACAACCTGAGTTCATTCCCCAGGATCCACACGGCTGAAGGAGAGAACCAACTCCCATGTGCCCATACACACATTCACACACATTTTTTTTAAATAAGTAAATAAACACTTTTAATCCCAGCACGCGGGAGGCAGAAGCAGGCAAATCTCTGAGTTCAAGGCCAGCCTGGTCTACAGGGTGAGTTCCAGAACAGCCAGGACTACACAAAGAAAACCTAGTCTTTGAAAAATAATACTAATAAGTAAATAAATAAATGTAAAATAATTTTTAAGAAAAAATTACCATTAATGTCACTATGGGTAAAAACCAATGCACCCTGCACTATTAACCTTCCTTCATGGCTTACTGGCATCCCTCCCTTATCAACCTCTTAGTCAAGTGTTGTTCTGCCCGTCAGGAGTAGGCCATAACTAAACAATCTTTGACATTATTTCTATGCCTACTAGTCTAAAATTTAGTCAAAGGCCAGAAATGTCATGAAGTAGTGTTTGCCTTGAGAGCGGCATTGAAGCGGTTAGTATTTACTGCCTTACCACCATCCATCACAGATGCACGTTCAGGGATAAAATACCATAGACTTGGGGATGCAGCACTGAGCTCTTGTGCCCAGTTTGCTGTTAAGCTAACTGGTTTTGTTTACTTTCCACTTCCATCCGGATTTTTGCAAAATGAAAAAAATACATCAGCCCTGCAATGCTCCAAGACCATTTGTTGATGGGGAGATGTTTCAAGGCTGTCATCAATGGCAATGATTCCCTGCCACATCCAAGTGGTGAGCACCGCCACCATCACCTTGTTATCCTCAGCTGGTCCTGAAGCTGCTGAGGAAGAGAACAGCAGCCTTCTATGACTCCCCCTCCCTAACGCACGAAGACAAGCCCAGAGAAAACGGGAACCCACTTCTCAACACTCCCTCTGGGTCTGTTGCCAGAATCATCTGGGAAGACCTACTCTTTGGGCACAGGGAAGCCCACGCAAAGGTCATGAAGGTGCTTGAATGAGCACTTTCAGGGTCTACGCACAACTGCCAACTCAAACAGGAAGTCTAAGTCTCAGGGAAACCATAAGGAATGGTGCAAGGAAGTAGAAAGTGGAGTCACAAAAGCTTGTATCCGTATTCTGAATTTTCTACTTACTAAGTAATATTAGGGAAATTACCCTCAGGGTCAGCAGGATGGCTCAGTGCATAAGGGCGCTTGCTGACGATCCCTAGGACCCACAGGGTTGTAAGAAAGAACCAACTCACACAAGTTGTCCTTTGACCTCCACGTGCGTGCCATCGTACTTGCATAAACAAATAAATGTAATTAAAAACATTGATAATTCCCTCTTAAAATGTGTATGCATTCAGAAGCCACTTGGTAAGATGTATAAAGTCACCTGCTTTCTTCCCTGCACTAATAAGAATCAATGCTATTCCACTGTGTACGAAAGGAGCAGAGAGATGCCTGCCTGTAAGTTAAGGGGGTTATTCGTAATTGAAAAACAATCCATCAGTGACAAGGAACTCCTTTCTTTAGCTCTGGTGCAAAACTTCTCCTTCCACTTGTGACCAAAAGAGAATAGGCTGGGTGTCGTTTAGTTTACATAAGGGTTAATTTTTATTGCCAACTGGCCTGTATTTGAAATCACCTAGGAACTACTACATCACTGGTGGTGTCTGTAAGCACTTCACTGGGGATGTGTTTTTGGTTTTTTGAGGGGGTTTTTTTTGTTGTTTGTTTTTGTTTTTTGTTTTTTGTTTTTTTTTCGAGACAGGGTTTCTCTGTGTAGCTTTGCGCCTTTCCTGGATCTCGCTCTGTAGACCAGGCTGACCTCAAACTCACAAAGATCTGCATGCCTCTGCCTCCCGAGTGCTGGGATTAAAGGCGTGCGCCACCACTGCCTGGTGGGGATGTGTTTTGAGAAAGGTCTAACTGAGGAAGGAAGACCCACCCAGAGTGAAGGTGGCACCATCCCATGGGCTGGAGTCCCAGAGTTAATAAAAAGGAAGAGGCCACGTGAACACTGATCTCTCTGCTTCCTGACCCTGGAATGGACGTGACCAGCTGCCTCCCATTCCCACCACCATACTTCCCTTGCCATTATGAATCCTATCCTCAAACTGTAATCCAAAACAAACCCTTTCTTCCTTGGGTGGTGTTTGTCAAGTATTTTGTCTGAGCAATGAGGAAAGTCATTTATAGTGCAGAAAACCGTACACTACACCTTTCTAACTTGGGCCTGTCAGAATGGCTCCTACAAAGAAAAATGGCAAGAGAAGGGGGGGGGTACATTCTGACATCGATGAATACACTATCAGGAGTTGGAGAGAGGGCTCAGCACTTAAGAGCACTGGCTGCTCTTTCAGAGGACTTGGGTTCAATCCCCAGCACCCACATGGCAGCTCACAACTATCTCTAACTCTAGTTCCAGGGGATCTGGCATCCTCACACAGACATACATGCAGGCAAAACACCACTGCACATAAAATAAAAATAAATAAATAAAAATTTTAAAAAAAGATTACACTACCAACATTCCCAAGCATACCTATGGAGCAGGCTCCAGGAAGCATGTCCCAGGAGTACTCACAGAAATCTAGAAATTTGCCATGAAGAAAATGGGGACTTCAGAAGTGTGTACAGATACAGGCTCAACCAAGCTGTCTAGGTAAGGAAAGGAGGAGGAGGAGGAGGAGGAGGAGGAGGAGGAGGAGGAGGAGAGAGAGAGGAGGAGGAGGAAGAGGAGGAGGAGGAGGAAGAGGAGGAGGAGGAGGAGGAGGAGGAGGAGGAGGAGGAGGAGGAAATGTCTCATGTTGTATCCATGTGTGTTGTTTCCAAAAATACAGTGATGATGAGGAGTCATCAAACAAGCTCTAGACTTTGGTAACCTATGTCCATGTCACCCCATTAAAAAAATCTACAGGCATGTCCAGTGTGGTAGCGTACGCCTGCCTTTAAGTCCCAGCACTTGAAAGGCAGAAGCAGAGGCAGGTGGATCTCTGTGAGTTCAAAGACAGTGTGGTCTACAAAAAGGGGCCAGGCCAGCCAGGACTACATAGTGAGATCCTGTCTCAAAACAATAATAACAAAATCTACCAACAGTCAACGTGAATGACAACTAACTGCTGGGTGCCAAATAACAACCACGACAAAAACCTGCAAAACCAAAGTCAGATGCCAGAAGCACGAGTAACATTGTGCCGCTTGTCAACTGAGTTTCAGCGAGCACAGCTTCCCTGGCCGCTCTCTCGTCATCCATGTGCTCCTTGATAGTCCCAACACGACTCCAGGGACTCGGACCTGACTAGGGTGGCAAGGAAAGGAAGAAGTGACAAAGAGATGGACAGATGGACAGAAAGCTAGG